GATATTTCAATTAAATCTTGTTGAGAAAGGAGTTCATGGCCTCGTAATGTACAGGCTATATTCAAGAAATCATGATTTCTTTTAGCTTAGGCAGGGCTAGATTTTGGTAGATTTTAGAGTTTTTGCTAAATGAGTTTATATTAAATGCTTAATATTGTTATGCATTCGTATATCCAATGTTGGATTAAGGTTTAATGATGTGATTGACAACAAGAAATATGAACTATAAGATGGGATGAACAATAAATTTAATTGAATTCCTTTATTTAGGTTAGCATTGATTTCTTATGGAACTTAGTTTAAATTTAACAAATGTATAAATATGATGTGGTTTATACCTTAGCAAGGATGACATGAAAAGTAAAGGCCTCGACGGGAGAGTTTATAATGAATTAGAGGCTAAGTAACTATCAAACGAGATAGTTTGAATTTACTTATCGATGCACGTTTATATTTATACAAGGTTACATCTTATTTGAAAATTAGTTAGAGGACAATTAACAATATTCATTGGAAACATGTTGGAGTTATTATAATTGTAAATTAATGGTGAATGTTGACATGGTTGCTTGAAAGGAGGTTGGGAAGCTTAAATTGATTGATCTGCTCCGACGAGGGCTTGTGGTAGTGTTTCATAAAATAGTTATACAACATATTGTCATATTTAAAACAGTAGATAGTCATTTTTTAGGGAGGATAATGCGAAATTTCGAGTAGAACCTAGATCTAATTTAATTATAATAACATAATAAATTAAGCTTCATTAGATAGAATCATAATTTTGATACATAATAAATAACAGGGCTCTACTTATTTTTATTAATTTATACAATCATTAATCACTTTTAAATGGAATTTCATTAATTTATTTATTTATTTTTCAATTATTGTTTATTACTATTATTTATTTTATTATTTGTTGTTTATTGTTAATGCTTACTATTTATTATTTGCATTTGGTTTTGAGTTCTAAATTGTGCCATTGCATTACGACTGTTTAATTGTATTACATGCTTGCATTTTGATTGCAATGTTTAATTAACTTGTGTTTTGAAAATTGCTATGCTTGTTGCTGTTGGATTGGATGAAGTGACCACCATGGGTTTGTAGGACGGTCTTGATATGGATCTTGGAATTAGAATAAGTGACCGTTCGGCCGGAAAATGGAAGAGATCGGCGCCCCCTTGTGCACCCTGACATATAAGATTATATGGAAATTCACAGGATGGCTTTCTTGTTGTTGCGCAGCCTGATAATCTAGATTTTGATTGTAGTCCCGCAGTTGGCTTCCTGTTGTTGAGCGCTTGATGATTCTAGATTGGATGGAGACCACCCGGGTTGCCTCCTGTTGCGTATGAAAAGAAAAGACTGAGAGAATGGAAAATAATGAGAGGACTGGTCAGTGTAGATTATGACTAGTTGGCCGTCGAATGGGGATCGGCTCCCTGGGTGCACATGTTATGGAGAGGCGGAGCCATGTGTGAGGACGCTCGTTGGGTTTTCAGGTGGCGCCAACGACTAATTTCCACGTGATGTGATCATATTGTAAGTATGTTTATGATGGAGGTGCTGATGATATGCCACTTTGTCCTGTGTGACTGGCTGGTGAATATAACTAGTCGAGGATGGACTAGATTAATATGTGTACACATTTGTGGTTGACTGCGTGTGTTGTGCAATAATTATTAACTCTCTTAGAAAACTCACAATGTGCTTGTTTGTCTTGTTTAAATTTTTCAGGAAGTAAGTTGCTCTTTAATTCGGTTTAAGATATGTTTCTTCGCCGCAGGGCTAGTAAGAAGTTTTCCTGGTTCCATAATTATTTTGCTATGTAACTATATGTATAAGAAGCTATGTATAACAACAGTTAGTCACTCCGCAGTTGTAGAATTTACATACATCTAGTAGTGTAGTAATACAGATGAAGTAATTCTGTTAGGCCATATTAAAAATGTGTTGTATTGTAAATAAGGCTCGAACTGTGGAATGTTGAAGATGATAAATTTGGGCCAAGGTATAATAAAATTTTGAGATATATTTTTCATGTTAATATAGGCTCAATATTTGAAATTCATATTGAGATAATAGATTAATAGATTCTAGTGTTTCAGGCTTACTACGGGCCTCGGGGGCCTTAAGCTTACCTGGGCCCTAGTGCCGGTCCGACCCATGGAATCGGGTCGTGACACATGTAAGAATGATGAGTAGAAATAATAAGCCGATAATTGTGACAATAAAGACATCAAAATAAATATGGAAAATTCACTTAAATAGATTCCCAAATTGTAAAATTATAAATTTTAATTGTGTAATCTCTAATTTAGAAAGTAGAAGTTTTAAGTATTGATAATAAAAATAATTAAATATTTGAGTTAAAAAAAATTCATTAGTCAATTCCAAAATTTATTTATCTATAATTTTTTAAGATTTATTTATTTACCTTATTTACATTTATTCTCACAATTTAGAAGTGTTAGAGAGGAAGTCTAGGTTTATCATTTTCCATACTTACTCCATTTACAAGTAGTATAGCTTAAGTGGTTTTTTTTTGCCCATGAATATATGTCGGTGTGAGAACATTAACGAGAAATTAAGTTTTTTTTTTTTTTGCAATTTTAATTTGATTTATATTTCCTATTAAATTTCACTAAGAGTCTATTTGATTTAATTGTCTATCAACCTAATAGTTTGATAGCGGGCATTGATAGTTGGTGACTGATAGAGAGGTGTTTGGTAAAATTTTGGTATCGGTTACTCTTAAAATATAAAATTACCAGTAATAATATGATTATTATTTTATAAATTATGGTGTATAATGCACGTATATTTTTAATTTTAAGTGACATATTATTTTTTATTGTAATGTATTATAGGAATAAAAAATGCTAATTAAATTTTTAAATAATACTTAATAAAATTATTATTTAAAACAATTAAAAATAAAAATATTAATTTGAAAATTTTATCAATAGTTATTTTTATAAAGTTAAAGGAATCTAAATAAAATAATATATTTAAATCAAGGATTAATATATTGTTTACCCTCAATTTTAAGTTTTATTGCAATTTCACTTTGATTTGATCTTTATGCTAATTTCATCTTGAATTTTAACCTTTTATTGCAATTTCACTCTAATTTGATCTTTATACCAATTTCACCTTGAACTTTGACGTTTTATTGCAATAGCACCCTAAATTATAATTAGGACGTAAATTGTAAATAAAAAATAGATTCACTCTTGACTTTGGGCTTAATTAACTTAATACATTTGTGTGAATGAGGGAGTTTGGATTAATGGTAAGGACAATCTCTATTGTTATTTTTAAAATTTTAAAATTTTTCTTTTATTGATAATAAGTAATATTTAAAAATTAATTATTTGATACATGAACTCTTTTTTTTTTTTTATTAATTATGGTGCTATTGCAATAAAATATCAAAGTTCAAGGTGAAATTGATATAAAGATCAGATTGGAGTGAAATTGCAACAAAAGATTAAAATTCAAGGTAAATTTGCAACAATAGATTAAAATTCAGTGTGAACTGCAACAAAAGATTAAAATTCAAGGTGAACTGCAACAAAAGATTAAAGTTTAGTGTGAAATTGACATAAATGTCAAATTGGAGTAAAATTACAATAAAACTTAAAAATTAAAGGTGAAACCACATATTAAGCTTTTAAATCAACTAGCAGCTAATATGAAAAAGTTACAGAATGTAATTGATGGAATAGCAGCTGTTGGGGAAATACTAAGAGAAATGTTAAAATTTAAAAAGATAAAAAATATTGAAATAATTTAAAATGAAATTTTATAAAGTTAAGATAAATTAACTATTTTCTTGATCAGTTAAGGGGTTAAATTTATAAATAATGAAGATTTTTTTTATACATACAGAAGTTTGTGTTGACTCTTAGATTAACACTATTTAAATATAAATCATAGATTTAAAAATATTTAAACGACCTTTTGCCTTTAAAATAAGTTATATTCATTTTTTAAAAGAAAAATTAAGTTTTATTCATTTGTTATGATTATTTTTTATATTCAAAAAAACATATAGCATATTAATTATTTTTAACAAATAATTAAAATATAAAATTGGAGAAATAGATTAAAAATTTTAATATCTGTACATAATTTGCTTTTCACCGTGCATTAAATTTAAATTATTTAAATATTAACTTTATGCATCTAATAAAATTTTCACTTAAAAACCTTCTAAAAAGTAAAAGCAAAGCTTCAAGATATCAATTCGTATGTCAAAATAAATTAATTAAAAATTAACGTATAATCATTTTTTATTTTTTATAATGCCAGATTCGCTTTTGAATTATGAAAAAATATATAATTTTAAAATTTCAATTAAATTTGTAAATATATTTTTTTAATAATGCCAGATTCTGCTTTTGAGAAATTTTGAAAAATAATATATGAAATTTTTAAAAGAATTTTCAATTAAAATTTGTAAATATATAATATTATACAAATATATACTATTCAATCTATAAATATTTTTCTTAAAAATTTCCTACATCACTAATTTCCTATGTAATTTACCAGTCTAATTTTTTTAATGAATTATCTTTATAGTAAATATTGAATTTTTAAAATGTATATAAAATGTAAATATATATATATATAAATATATACTATTCAATCTATATATTTTCTTAAAAATTCCTACATCATAATTTCCTATGGTATTTACATCTAATTTTTTTAATGAATTATCTTTATAGTAAAATTGATTTTACATATATGAATATGAGATTATATAATTATAAAATATTCGATAATCTTATTTTTTAATATTTATTTATATAAATCTGAATGGCATATTGTATATACGAGAGTTATGTATCTGTAGAGAAATTATTAAGTCTGAATACTAGTAAAAGCCCAGTTTAAGGGTGGAAAGGAGTGAGAACAGTAGTAAAAGCCCACTTAAAGTGTGGAAAGGAGAGAGAATGTTTAAATTGGCGTGTGATTCGAGTGTTGAACTCGTCCTTGATTTTGACAAAAGAGTTAGAAATTCCCCAAAACCAATAAATACTCCCAAGTTTTTTATTTGTTTGGAAAAATACACAAAGACCAAAATAAATACACTTTTCAAATCAGTACAGAGTACAAACCATAACCAAAACCATAACCAGAGTTATAATGAAGAATCTCTACAAGAAAGGCAAAGTCCACCCATCTCCGCCTATAACCGATCACTCATCACTACTTCCGGCAACGATTCTCACTTTAGCTGCTGCTCTTTCCGCCGAGGACAGAGAAGTCTTAGCCTACCTAATTTCCTGCTCCGGAACCTCATCAAACTCAAACTTTATTGGTCACCGGGAAACTACTCAAAATAGCAGCGATGGTAGGGACCATGATCCAGTGTTTGATTGCAATTGTTTTAGTTGTTATATGAATTATTGGGCGCGCTGGGACAGTTCGCCGAACCGTCAAGTGATACATGACATAATTGAAGCTTATGAGGAAGGATTGTTCCAGAAGAAGAAGAAGAGTTTGAAGAAGAAGAAGAACAACAAGAAAGAGAAAGGCAAGCGAGTTTATGATGAGTTAAAAGAGATTAGTAGTTCTAATACAGAGGAGAAGTTAATGAAGGAATCAGAATCAGTGGAAAAGAATTCCCCAGCTGAAGCTGAAGGTTTTGATGAGGAATTGGAGAAAGATAGCACTGTAAGGAAGATTACAAGTTTTATCGGAGAGAAAATATGGGGATTTTTTAGTAGAGATTAATTTAATTTTTTTTCTTTTTAGTGTTTTTTAATTCTTTTCCTTGCAAATTCTTGGAGGAGAATTTTTTTTTTTTTTTTTAATTTCTGGTTAATCACTCGTTTCCTTTAAATGCGAATTGAATTCTCATTCATGAATTTCTTTTTTTCATTTTTGGCTTACTGTTATGATTCAGAATTGAGAATTTTCATTAGTGCTGCTAAAAAATTATTTGCTTTTTATTGAATTGTTATTGATTTGTTTTAAAATTTTAAAAATTAATTTTTTTTCTACATATTACCGATCAATTTGTAAAAAATTATAAAAACTAGTACAATATCAGATGAAAATAAGGATAAAATAGGAAAAAAAAAACAATAATCTAGAAAATAAAATTTTGAAAAATGATAGATAAAATTGGATTAGAAATATTTTTTAGTTAAGATGAATGACATTGGCAACTATATTTTATTTTATTTAGATGTGTAGTGTAGGAGCTTGAAAGTGTCAAAGGTCAATATTCTTCAGCTTTGATCACCAACCGTTGACGAGAAAAAAGAATACGTATGACTTTGACTCTTTAGATGTTTCATGATTTATGGAGTTTTCTGGTAAGTTGCTCAGCTGATGAAGATTGAACAGTTTGTTTGGTAATGAATTTTTAATTTTTTGATATATATTTATTTGAAATTTACATTGATTTAAAATTTGAAGTTTTTAGCCATGCACTTGGGAGCTATATCCATCGCTATCCAATATAGCAACCACAAACTGCACCACCACCGCCTACCGCCCACCGCCCTTTACAGTTTTTAATGGAGAATAATAGAAAGAGATAAGGGCTACAAGAAAATGCCTTCAGACGTTGTTTTTCTGTTTTTGTTTGAGTTGCTAAATGATTTTTATTTCTTGAAAATAAAAAAATTATTTTTATTTTATTACTTAATTAATGACTAGGTCAAAATAGTCATAATCAAAGTTTTTACCTTAACCCAGATTAAAATTTTGTTTTAAATTTAATTCCATATAAAAAAGATTTAAGAGACAAATTGATTTTTTTTTTTTTAATTTCACCACGTCGTAATTTATGATTGGGTATAAAATGATATTTAAAATAAAATTACGTTATAAATTAATCAGCAATATTAAAATGTATTAAGGATATGTATGATTCAGTATTTTGTTAATGCTTAGGTCTTCAAAACTTAATACTTAGGTTTTTACATTTCAATCCTTAAAATTCGAGTGAGCTATTGGCTTAATAATTGGAGTGGAATTAGGACCGGTTATATAGACCAAAAATAATATCAATGTGTTTGTAGTAATTGATTAAGGTTTAATAAAATGGAAATTCATACTCTTGTTGTGTAGTCCACAGTCATAGGACTAAGGTTTTTTTTTTGTGCAAGATGTCTTATTTTTCGGAAAGCATATTTATGGAGAAGTGAAATTTTTAGAGAAATTATTTCTTAAAAAGTATAATTTAACCGTTTAATTTAACTGTTTATATCAGCGGATAGTTGATAGTGGTTACGGTTAAAACATAAAATGACTATTAAGAAATATAATTATTTTTCTATACATTATGATTATAATGTGTGTATATCTATAATCTCCCTTTATATATATAAGTGAAAATATTTATAAAACATTGGGATTTGCTAAAAGACCCGTGTTAAGTTTATGGATAGATAAAATATTAATTAATAATTTTAATTTTATTGATTAAAAATATATATAATTTAATTTTAATTGGTCTAATTTTCTACTTAAATCTAAATTGATAAAACAATAAATTATTATTAACAATATATATCATATATGATAAGAATATAATATTTTTAAGGATTTTAAGATTTTAATTTTATTGGTTGAAAAATAAAGATAGTTTAATTTTAATTGGATATATTATACTATATAATATACATACTTTCTCCGTTCCATTTTATATGTATAGTTTGACAAAACACGTATATTAAATATTTAATCAATAAAATTATTTTATCTTTTTTTATCCTTAACTTATTAAGATATTAGTGAAAGTCATTCATGTTTAATTAGTTATTGTTCTTATGAGAATATTGTGGTGTATTTATATTATAGTCATTGATGAATTGCTAAATTTCTTTTAAAAGAATATTTAGATTAAATTAAAGTTCAACAATAAAATTTGATTCCGATCAGCAAAATTTTGATTATTTAGTTGAATGACGATACAATAAAAGGACTGTTTAATTAAATTCTGAAAACAAAGATATAACTTATTACTATAGGAACTAAACATTAAAACACCCTAGTGTTTTTCAGTCATTCGCTTTATAAGTTAATTTCTTGAATGGAAGTTTATTTCTAATTAATTAGAATAATTAACATAATCACCGAACAAGCATGTATCCGTGAATCCAACATATCTCTAATCAAACCAACAAATTAATTTCCATCAAAAATTCTCAACTCCTTCCTATTCAAATCCCTCATCCAAATGCTGAGGTTAAGTATACATGTACAAAGCATCTGCTGCAGATTAATTAGTTCTACAACTTAAAAGAGAAAAACTCGGTGCTTCCTAACTCAAATTTCCAGCTTTTTCCTCTCTTCCAAGCGTATATATAAAGGGGGGAAAAATGTACATTCTACAGAAATACACTCGTGTTACACAGTATTTCACCTTATAAAAAAAAAAAAAAATGCTTTACAAAACATATGACAAACCTGTAAATCTAGCTCTGTTGATTGGATAGCGAAATCAATCGATGTTTGAGAGATTAACTTTGGCTGTTTTCCCCCACAAAAAAGCTGCAAGTAATTTTTATATGCCGACATTTTCTATCCTCCATAAGCATTCTTTTCGCAGAGGTGAATCAGTAAATATGGCTTTAATGAAATCTTCCACCTGCAAAATTGAAAGAGCCTCTACGCACACAAATCAGGTAGAATATGACACCAAAATGTAACCAACAAATGCATTTTAGGAGTTTGATCTCATACTTGGCTCTTGTTTTTAATTAATTAGTAGACATCAGAAAATTTTCCTTCCGGATTAAGAAGCTTAATCTCTTTGTGTATTTGACTAACCTCCACACAAAGCATAGATCTTTCATCCCACAAGTAATATGCTATCAGCGAGACAATGAAGTTCAGGTTTATCCTGGGACTGTAAACTTAAGCTCCAACCATTGAGTGAGGGTAATCACAAGAACAAATAGCTAGAAAATTTATTGCCCCCTTGGAGTGTGTTTGACGTGAGACTAATGAGCTACATCAATACCCAATTAAGGATTTGTTTGGCAATATTGTTTGAGCTTATGTTAAAAACACTAATGAGAAGTTATTAAAGTTTGTTTTAGTGTAATAAGAAGTTATTTTTCAAAACAATTGAACAATGCTCTTTAACTGCTTTTTACAATAGTATCTAAAACAGTGCTTCTTTAAAAAAGCAATTTTAACCTCAATTCATAATGGGTTCTAACATGGTATCCCCTTGATATATGGAGGGAGGCATTAAAGGATGTTAGCACACAAACCCCATCACTTCCACTACTCTTATCCCTAAATTCCACCATTAATTTTTCTCTTAAACATGCATATCCATTCTTATTAACCCCGTACAAAAAGCTGCCTACAATTACAGAAACATTTGACTGCAACAAGAACCCCTTTTCTGGAATTGTCAGAATGAATTGCATATATTAAAAACAAAATTAGAATTTCTAAACAGCTGGCAAATATATATAATATATCCGAAGAAAAGGTCATTTGAGGGTTGCACATGTGCATATACCTCTGACACTGTAAAACCACAGCTGAGGAGCTCCCCACTTTCCCAAGCTGCCGATATTGATTTTAAAGGCATGTCTAGAAGTTCTGAGAATTATAGAGCAAAATAGTGAAAAAAAATTCAGAGAAAAAAGTGCAATACATCAACTAAATCTATCAATTTCCAGAAATCAATTCAAGTAACAGACTGAAATCATACCAGCAAGTTTGCGGATTTTACATAAAGAAGGTACAACATCATCAAGAGGAAATCTAGAATATCCTTCTGACTTCTCCTTTTGGATGACAGCAATCAAGGACTCCATCAAAGAATTTAGGCTTTCCAGCATCAAATATATGAGTCTTTGAAGCTGGGGAATACAAATAAATTTCTCTTAACTCCGGCTTTGAAAGCCACAAAAAATTTAGTATCCTATTAGATCATACCTGTAATGTTTCATCAGCTGCCATATCATCTAGAAGGAGTATATCTTTGACAATTCTAGAGAAAACTGACTCTAGAACCATACACATCCCATTCTTGTAAATGGAAGGCAGCAGGAGTGGCTCCCATATGAGACGTACTTTTTCAAGTATAAAAACCACCTGAGAGAGGAACATTTAGCTCTCCCTCAACAATTAAGATAAAGACAATTGACAATTGAAGGAAAAAGTACATGCACAAAACATAGCAACCTGATCTATGCTAAACTTTGCAGATTCAAATTGCTGCATTTGATGAGTATTCTGAAAACCATCAGCATTATCTATGGCCTAAAAACAGCATTCACATAAAGTCAAGAAAGAGCATAATGTCGGTTCATAAGGTCAGGAAACCTTCAAAACTTTCTGGAAATGTCTGTCATATGGACTCTGCATATCAGATAATTTACCTCTTTCAAGTTAAAAATAACAAGTCGGATTTGTCTATGCAGTATCTCCTGTGCCATTACATGAAATCTTGGAGCCATGTCAGCAAAAACAGTGTGTTCTTTAATACTATCTGGGAAGTCTGACCTATACTGGAATATCATCAAAATCAAAAGCAGCAAGCTGTTAGTTTGTCTACTATACAAGCAAACGTGCATTGTGAATTACTTTCACTTCAAAACAATAGCTATTCAACAGTCTACTAAGAATGAGGAGTTTGGGCAAAACACACACATGATTGATTATGGCACCAGTCTATACATGCATACCTCAAATGCCAGTCCAAGTATCTCTTGAGATATATAAAGACAGTCATTGTGCATCAGAACAGCAGCCTGGTTGATGCTATCAAGCTGCCTCTCTAGCTTCATAAATCAAAATTGAAGGTTAATTATATAATTATGAACATATAAATGCCTTGAAGAACTAACACATTTTGTGTCTAGTGAACCATAAAGTAGACAGAAGTGTTAGAATTAAAGCTCAGATTCAGATAATATATATTACATACAGTCCGTCACAAAGAACAATAGAAACACATGTACATAAATTATCTGAAATAAATTTGATGAAAACAAAATAGATTTAGCAAATGTAAAACAAAGAATTTCTGTTAGAACTCACGAATAATTTGTCTCAGAAACAAGAGAATAAAATTTCCACAATCACAGTTAGATCAGGGGAAAAAAAAGGGCTTTCATAGAAGGCTTCCCTAAATGCTTCATTATCTTCTGCAAATAACGCATAGTTCAACGCAACCATGAACCATCCCTGAGAAAACTACTACATTGGATTCGACAGGTAAATTTTCTTGCTGCAAACTACCTTCCACGCACTAACCTTGACAGGAATCACAGCCTCATAGAGAAGTATAGCATCCCTTGCAGCATGGTAGAATTCCAATGCAACTCTTGGAGATGACAAGCAAATGTCCTGCACCAAATTGTAACTGACATAAGTAAAACACACATTACCTTTGAGTTTATGCAACTTAATGACAGATTTTTCACCATAACATCCACAGAAAAGTTATGTTAATGGTCATTTTTACAGGCCAGAAGGAGATGCAGCAGACTCGCACAATTGCATCCCTATAAATTTTCAATGAAATATAAATAATTCTTTGTTATTTGTAAAAACTCCACATTAATTGAACCTCTTCAAAATTTCTTTGAATATAAAAATGACATATAAAAAAACAATCCAGAGAATCTTGCATGAAAGACACAAAAGGAGAGGGGACAAAGTAAGGGAAAGGATTGATCCTATGGAACCTCCATTGGGATAACGGATCCCAACATCTCCACATCCAGAAGAGAGTTCTGGCTTCAGGTTCCAAAAGTTCAACCAAATTCTCCATACATATATTTAGTTGAGGCATTATCTCATTTCCTGTGCATGCAATGTAGTGTGAAAAGAGAGAGGGGGGTGGAGGGCAAAACTGGAACAGTTCATCCAGTATAAAGACCAGATTTAAATCTTTTGTACTGGATAACACAATAACATAAAATATGCTGGCTCATAGAAAGCTAAACACTTTTTATAGCTGTTTTATGAAATTCTTCCTTAATCCAATAGCTACATGCATAAAACTCTAAAATAACATCTCAAATTCGTACTATCCTCCTGAATTGGAAACACTCTCCCATCTCGTCCATAAAGCATATCAACTTTTCAATATATTAGTACAAATGAGTATGGCAACATGCAGCAATTTCATGAAATTCTTCAATTCCTGATAGCTATATATGTTACACAGTCCAAATTCCTCCTTAATCTAATAGCTACATGCATAAAACTCTAAAATAACATCTCAATTTCATACTATCCTCCTGAATTGGAAACACTCTTGCATCTCTTCCATATACCATATCAATTTTTCAATATGTTAGAACAAAATGAGGATCGCAAACATGCAGCAACTTCATGAAATTCTTCAATTCTTGATAGCTAGATATGCCACACAGTCCACCTCTAAAAGTCCCTATCAATTTCAATTATCCTAATGAATAGCTAACATCCTTACATCTCCTCAAAAATCTAACTGGAGCAGGCATAGATGATAGCCAATCAAATCAATCAATACGAATGGTAACTTATAGAGTGGGGAAGGCAGAAAACCCATGTGACAGAGACATTCTGCCTCACTCAACTGATAGGGCTACTGTATTATAAAACAATGTGTTACAATTTTCAAAGTACTGCAAAAAGTCTAAATTACTTTATTTTTTGGCAACCACCTTAAGGGTCTTATGCACTAGCTCCATTAGTTGGGAAGCTCCTTCGGACACCACACACCTCTCAGATAGAAAAAGCAAGTCAACGACATGCTCAGGAGAATCTACAGCAATTCCAGTATTCTTTATTGGAAGACCTTTTCTTGTGTGCTCCTGTGGAAATCCATTATTCAGAAGCTGACTGAAATTTATCAGTATCTACAGCAATAGGTGTTGTAGTCTCTAAAAGCTCACCTGTGGAATGGCAAAGTCACACTGTAGAAGCAAATTTCTAGCTTTTGCCAATATTTCCGTCTTCTTTCTAGTTGCAAAGTGAATCTCAACATTTTCAGCAAAACTGCTCAACTTTTGATCTGCGCTATCAGATGCAGAGATAAATTTCATTCCTTTTAAATCAGTCTCAAAATCCGATGTGTGTTTGATGATCTTCTGAAAGTCAGCAAGCTTTGAAGCATCTTGAGGAACAGCCTAAAAAAAACCAACACAGATATATCTAAAGAAACACTTCATTTTCCTCCACAGCTGTATTGGAGGAAGTTACATAAATTGAAACAAAAACAAAACAAAGAAGAAGATGAAAAATGCAGCACCAGAACAGACAATCATATGAAGCACAACTTAAAGCAAATGAATAAACAAATTCCATTATTTGGTGAAATTGCGGTTTCTTTTTAGTCCAAACAAATGTGAACTTCCACACTGATGAGAAAACATTCATCAATGCTTGCACACAGTAAACAATACAAGGCAAAACTATCAAGACACTTGTCAACTAAGCACATAAGTCGGACAAACATTTTGACATATTTGCAGCTTTGACTGAAAAGATCATGAATATATATATAGGAAACAAAATAGGAAATAGGCAAATTTAGCTCAAGTTTGAAGAGAGATAAACAAACCTTGGAGAGGAAGTTCGAAATAATCAACTCGGATATCCTAGGCCATGTCAATCTTCCAAAACATCGAATCCAAGAAGCATTTTGGAAGCATATACGTTCACAAATAAACTTTACCACCTGAACAATCGCCGAATACATGTTCTCACCATCCACATCTTCCATCTGATAATGGAAGAAAAACACATATGAAAGCATCAATGAGCATGTACCACCACTAAAAAAACTAAAAATTAAAAAATTAATGCAAAGATGATACCCAAGTTGGTTTGATCCATCTGTAGAGCTTTTGTTGCCTCTACATGACTCAATTTCTTTTCAATCTTTTATATATAAATGTGCAAATATTTGTAGAGAATGCCATGTTACAGCAAGCCAAAAATGTACAAGTACGCATCATACTACACCTATATAATTGGCATTCCCTTTTACCGGACATCAATAAAATGTCAACAATAGGAAAAAATTTAGAAAATGTTACCAAGAAAATTTACCTTATGATCGGACATCACTACCATCTTCAACATTGCCTCAGCCTTTTCTTTTGAGACTTTTTCTGAATCTTCTATGAAGGAAACAGACGATTTGGAATTTACAGCAGGAGTAATAACAAACTTGATCGTTTGGTCAGCTACTTTAGCAAGTCCATAATCCAAAATTCCAATCACCTACAGGATCTCTAATAAATGAGTGAAATGAATTGAACTATTGGGTTCAATATAAGCATGTATTCATCGCATTGACATTTTCAGTGGAGCAAGTTTCCAAGGGCACTTAATATTTCATGATAGTTATTAGGCCTAGAAAAGAAGCAGTATTTTACACTACATGTTACAGGTGCATAAAATAGAGGTTTTGAAACTATTATCCACACATAAACAAATGCAGCCATATGAAGTAGCTAACAGAATTCATGCTTCAAATTTTACAAACAGCGAAGCAAGCTCTGAAGAGGTTTAAGGCCTTTCAACATAATATCTTGTATATCTCAATAAAAATTGAATTTTCTTGAGGAAGATTAGATAACAAGCACACTCACTTCCAATGCTTCCAGAACTGTGTAAAGGTCAACCCCAACAACTCCATCAATGCATAAGTCATACTTGACTCGGATCCCACCAGAATCAGGCTCAAACCGCACTGCATTTTCCATGAACCTCACAAGCAGCTCTTGTATCTACAAACCCAAATCCAATTCATCTAAAAAACAATCACAAACTCAATAAAAATCACAATATACCAATCACAATTCATCGAAATAGTAAATATAATAATACTCCATGTGGTTGCTGGGCATTGTGTTGCTTCACAAAATAAATTACTATGGTATCTTCCATTATAAGTTACCAACTTCGACTACCCACAGTAATTTTTGCTAGAAAACCATAATTATCTGTGTTCCGTACGATTCTATAATAACAAAATAAGTGGCATATGAACACCACTCATATATAACAAAACGAAGCTAAGATATCCAATTACCACTCATACAATACTTTCTTTGATTTTTCTCAATTTTCTCAGCAACCAAACAGAGCATTATCAGTACAAACTCAAAAAAAAAAAAAAAAAAAAAAAAAAAAAAAAAAAAAAAATCTCATCACCAATTCTCAATGCCTTCTTCAAGTCCCTCACTTCTTCAGCAGCAAATCTCATCCGTCCATTTTTTATTGCCTCTCTTGCATCTCTCAATCTCTCGCTAATTCCAACAATTGCCCTCACCAACTCCAACAATTCCCTCTTAACCCTCGCCTCCCTCATTTTCGCACTCGCCTCCTCAACGATCTCTTTAATCTCAACATCAATAGGAGAATCAGAAAGCAAACCTATCAGATCCGATATCTTCTCATTGATTTGATTAGTCTGCGAAACGGCGCCGTTACATAGGGAGAAGAGAGAGGAGAAATCGCTGTGGTGAGAAATGAGGTAAGACTGGACTCTGGACTTGATTTGAAGAGAATGAGACTCAAGCCTGGTTATAAGGAGGCGGAGATCGGGGGCGGAGAGCGGAGTGGTAGAGTCCGTCAGGTCGCCGGTGGAGAGGAGGTCTCGGACGTTGATTGAATCGAACAAAGCGTCCATTTGAACGATCAGACGACTGTTAATGGCGGTTACGGAGGATGTTTCAGTTTTTTGCAGAGTAAAAATATAGTTGAAGTTGAAGGAAGAAGTGAAGTTGCAGGGCGGATGGCGGAGGGTAACTCGCGCCAGTGCAGATGAGTTGTAATGGGCTTTTGGCCCATTAGCAATTAGTTTGCTTGATACATTAATGGTTCAGACCAATGTTTTTCAAACAGCTCCGCATCGAATCCGCATTATCTCTGAGTCATGGTTGCATCGGATCAATTCGGTTTAATCAGATTTTTTTTAAATAGTTATTTATAAAAAAAATTGTATTTTCTGTTAAATTGACTCGAAAAAAAGTTTTTTGAATTGACTTTCTAATTAATTTTTATCCGCAAAGTCAATTTTTTCAATCTAATTATTAAAAGTTAAAAGGTAAAATAGGTAATTAGCCACTAGTGGTGAAACCATAAAAAGAATTATATAAAAAAAAAAAAAAAAAAAAAAAAGAAAGAAAGAGAGCAACTTTTAAGTCTGTTCGGTAAAATTAGTTATTAATTGTATTAATAACATTTAACTATTAGCTGTTTGAACATCTTTTTATAAAACATTAAAAGTTGAACATTATATAAATTAATTTTTTATAAAACGTTACCTTAATCTTTAAAAACTAGTATAAGCGTTATGTTACCGAACACAATAAAAAATATTTAAAAAATTATTGCCAAATACAACTTAAGCTGCTTTCATATTTCATATTTTATATTTCATCTGTTCTATTTTATTTGCAAGCTGCTTTCATATTTCATATTTTATTTTTCATCTGTTCTATTTTATTTGTATGGTTTGATAAAACACGCATATTAACAATTTAGTCAATTTGCATGGTTCATTTTCACCCTTAGTTTATTAAGATATTAATAAAAATTATTTATTTAATGAATAATCATAAAAATTATTATGAGAAAAGTAATTGTTTAAATGTACAAATTTAAAAACTTTTTAAATATTTTAAAATATTTGAAAAAGAATAATAAGTAAATAAAATGATATGAAGGGATTTAGCAGTTAATAGTAACAAAGACATCTCTTTCACTATGATTAAAAAAAAAATCCTCCAAATACAGTTTGCATTAGTAACACACCCGCACACACATTGTTTATAACAACAAAAATCTTTTAATGCCTGAATTTTTTAATTCTCTTCCTCAGCTAATGTTTCCTTATCATAACTCATCTTTACTTCCAACATCTTCTCCCATTAGTTCTTCAAGAGAGAACTCGTCCTCTTCGATTATCTCTCCATCCTTCCCATCCCATGGCTCAGTCTTCACTATTTCTGGTGTACCCCCCAAAGCCAGATTTCCCTTTCCACCACGCCCGGCTTCTTTGACAAACTCTCTGGAAAACCAAAATGACTAATGTTCAGATTTTGCCCATTTTGGAGAAAATAGTCAAGATCTATAAGACATGGATTGGATGTGGAAAAAACACTGATACGCTAACATGACTACTAAATAATTAAACACATGTGGTGTCATGTTGGAGAAATGTCCTGCACTGATACACCCAAAAATTAAAGTGTCGGTGCTTCAAAGGTCAAGATGCATGAGAAATAGAACACTTACATAATATGTTCAAGCTCGAAAGCACTTTTAAGTGGGGCATATGCTCCTTTCTTGACATTCAAGGCTACTAAAGCTGGATAACCATATCCACCAACGCCTACAAGCTTCTCAAGATCTGGTTGCTTACCTGCAGCTGCCCAGACATAGCTGCAGATATCAAATGTTTCAACTCAGTAACTTGCCAGTGTTCCATATATATGCTTTGCTTCTGAAAGCATGTCGTATGACCGACAGTATCAGATTTACAAATTCATTGACACAAGTGCAACTGCTTGTTTGTGGACAAAGAACATAGAAAGGTAAGTAGAAAAAGATTCAGGGGTAAAGAATTGTAATCTACTTGCCTATAAGGACTCCTTTTAAACTTCTCAGCAACTGATAACAACTGCTCAAGGTACTTGTTCCTTCCTGCTGCCTTGGAGTCCAAAATGTCAGGCAAGAAAGCAACAAAACAGATGGCAGCTGAACCACATTTCTCTTCCATTACATCCTATGCATTGACAAATAACAGTTTTGTACCATTAATAATGGAAGCTCGACTCAAATTGGGCTTCTGTTAGAGAGTAAGATGCTTACTGGACCAGTCAGTTCAGTCACTTCAGGTGGTGCAACATTGGTTTCCAACTGGTCTAGGGCAAATGATTCAATTGCTGATGCGGTTCTGGCACCTTCATATGGAATTGGAGAATCTTTATCAGCACCAAACACCAAGATGGTGGGAAATCCTTGCACGTTGAACCTGCTCATCAAAGACTGATAGCCGCATCCCATTACATTACAACCATGTCATTTGACAAAATTTTAAGAGTTGAATAATGATAAGGTTTTGAGGAATAACATTTTGTATTAGAAAATAATAGCAAAGAACTGCAGCTTTCTAATGAATATTGAATAATGCATATGTTGTATGACGGCGCTGCATGTGCTCCTGACCAGCAACAGGGAAAACAAAATGGGAACAGTTGGCATATTCAAATTGGTGAGGGAATTATTAAGTATAAATGGAACGTAGTCTAGTTCTCTCATAGTGCAGTACAACATAGTGTGAGAGGACTAGAGTAAACTTTGGTCCTACTCAACAGTTCATGTTAACTCATCATTATATAAAGTAGAAATATATGCAAAATTACGCAAAAGGTTATAATCCAAGTGCTCATCAACCATATCAGGCAAAATGGTAGCCATCTAATACAACTCCTTGCTATCAAAACCTTGCAGTCAATTCAGGGAATCAAACTCTCTCCTTGCTCTAAAAACTGAAAGTAGATAAATTATGAAGAAATATAGGTAACAGGATGGTGTAATTACAAATAAAACATCTGAAGCTTAAACTTACCTTCTCAGCATCACAGTCAACATGACCCAGCTTCACCTTCCCCTTCAAGTTACTAGCAGCCTTTTTCCACTCAGGAGCTAATTTTTTACAATGTCCACACCTTGCAAAGTATATGATAGACAATTTTATCTCCAAAATTCAAAATAAATATTTATAAGGAAGCATAAATTATGCAAAATCAAGTCAATCATGCAATTCAATCAAAAGCAATCATTCAACCAAACGTTAAATGAAGTTGAATTCTATCGTGTGAAATAGTTGCTCCTTCTTCTCTCTGTCTTAGAATTGTCCATTGGAGTCACCATCCATGAGTAGCCGAAATCAATATGGTCATTGTATGACACATAATAGTACTAAAAGATCTTTCTGGACTTGCCCACCATTCATCAAGAATTACAAAGGATTCTTTTCTAGTCCAATTTTTTCGTTCAAGAATCTGGCATCTCCTACTTAATTTTTAATTAAATAATTTTTTTTATCACGTTTGAAGTGACATATTATGAATACTTAAAAGTTGATAATTTATACAGAGAAGACAAACAATAGCCTTATTAATTTCATGCTGCATCTAGGATACAAGTACATCTAGCACCTCACTTATAGTATAATAAAGTCTTATGCATGCATGCATGGCATGTATGTGTCTAGACAGAGAAATGGATGGGCATTCATAACTCGTGTTGGTCATCACTCGATCGAGAGTTGTTAAGAAAAACACACATGACAACCAAAAACAAAAGAAAAACCAATAAAAAGCTTTCATCCAAGGAAAGATTATTATAGAAGTATAAGACCTTCAAAAAAGCACACTCACCAAGGTGCAAAGAACTCCACAACCCAAAGCTCTTTGCTTTTAATCACCAACTCATCAAAATTGCGGGAGTTCAATTCAATTGATGCATTAGGTTCAGATTTTTCACTAGATCCTCCAGATGATTTTCCACTCAGGCGGTCTTTCAAAAGTGCCTTTATCTGTTTGAAAATGACAATGGTGACAAAATGATAGTTTAAGAAACAGAATCTGGAGGTATTTCACACATCAACTGATGAACCATTACAAACCTGCTGTAGTGCAAACTCAGCAATAGGTTTGGCTTCCCTAGCTCCTTGATAATCTACTGGGGGCTTCCCAGGTGCAAACACCTTTATGGTAGGAAAACCCCTAATACCGTATTCCTACACAACAGACAATCAGCCCTTTTTCAGCATCAACAAAGAAAATGACAAAGGTGTAGAACATAATAAGACAAGAAAGTTCATATTAACAGCCAGCCATATGTCCAGATAGATTTGCTTGTTATGATTGCATTTACAAGGAACTGACTCGTCATACTAAGTGATGAAGCCAATGGAATCATCTTTGTCTTTTTTTCTCCTTTTTCTTTTTCTTTTTCTCTTTTATAATTTTTTTTTTCTGGTAAAAGAAAAGGTACAACTATAGAAAAGTAAGAAAATAGGCAACAAGATTATTCGCAATTGTTATCCTCTAGAAAAAAAAACTGCTTCTGATACAGAAATATTGCCATGCAGTCATGGTTGGACTCACAGTATTAATAGGTAAGAGAATTTAGGTAACTAAACAAGAAAAATCATGCTATTCAATGCAACACTGAACATTTTGCTGAGGTTTTTGTTTGGGCCCCATGAGAGCCCTTTCTAGCAGCAATTTGTAGAAATAATTCCACTAACAAACCAGAATAGTCAAATCAGTGATACTCAACCAAAATGATTTTGAATGGAATCTGAAAGTATTCTAGATTGCTTAGAAAAAAGCTAGAGGGTCACATTAAGGCATAGTGGTAGAAGCAAATTACTCATACTATTGCCTGTTTATGACAGCAGAAAACTGTCCATGCCATCCAACTCAGCAGCTGATTACATAACTTCAACCATTTAATGAGGAAAAAAAAGCTAGTTTTGCTAAAATTCTTGGATGCATATGGCCAGCTGTTTAATGCATCCTTAACATTACTTCTATGTCACTGCACAGATTGTTAAGTCTTGAATTCTAAATGAGGTATGAAATAAACTTTTTGATGCTTATTTACTACAACAGTTTCAAATTAAATACAACAATATGGGCTGAAACTTTTCAACTACAGAAAACCTGAGCAAGTGACTGGTGTGCATCAGCATCAAGAGCTGCCACAGTTGCAACACCTTTCAAGATATTAGCTGCCTTCTCCCATATGGGTGTGAGAGCTTGACAGTGCCCACACCAAGGTGCAAAGAACTCAACCAAAACAACTCCATTTGAGTTCAGGACCTGCAGACGTTTGAAGATCACAAATAATATGCACGGTCATGCTTCAGGGAGTTTTGCATATAACTAAGTAGTCATGTAAAGAATTTCAGCATTCATAAAATAATAGCATGTATGAAATAATTTCACTGAACGAGAAAGATGGTCAGACTTGAAAATTCTTCATGAGAACAAACTGCATCTAATATCTTGATTTCAGAACCATATCAAATGCTATACAAAACAATTGCACAATTGAAAGGACATCGAATTTTATTCCAAATGCCTTTTCCTCCCATTTTAATTCAAAAATTCTAAAACTCTATGTGGTAGGTTCCTTTCTCTTTGTGATGGGTAAGTTATTTGAAACAATCAAAGTTGAGAATATAAATTTTCAACAAAAGTTTCACATTTCCCAACTGTAAAAATTAACAATTTTCAATATGGAGCTGAATAAATGGGCGAAATAACAAATTCAACAGTTTTACATATTGAATAAAGAGAGAATATTAATATCAATAACCAAACTAGATCTACAGTATCCAAAAAGTAAATTATAAATCAATTTTGAAACACTATTATTAAACACTCATTTCATCATCAACTAAGCATAACAACAATAATCATTCTTGCCATTCAATTTAAATAATATTTTCTAGAACAAAACAGTACAACCTCCAAAATTACTGTTCTCTTTCAATTTTCTTCAAATTTCTCAGCAACCAAACAAGACCTAAAAGAGAAGCACTGGTGTTCAACATTACCTTGGACTTGAAGTTGGAAGGGTTTAGCTGGACTACAGGAGATGATGGCCCGTACAATGCATTGCAGATATTAGAAGCGAATAACAGAATTGATAGAGCTACCAAAAAAGGCGATCGTGATCGCTGCATTTTCCCTTACTTTCTCAAGAAAATTACTCTTTTTCTCTGAATCTCCGAGTAATATCTAAGCGGGATTGAGAAGGAAAAACCTTCGCTGAGGACCGAGTTACGTGTGCTAGCCAATAGAGGCTTGACACGTCAACTTTCTCATGTATAATTATATCAGTTAATTAGTTTTTTCTTTTTGGGTTTAAGGAAATAGTTAATCGCTTGTTTAAAACAGGTGGAGGTGTAATTTTATTGGCTTTTGTTATTTTTCCCTAAAATATTTGTTTATTATCATGGAAAATATTTACGTACGATGAGCATATGTGCCGTGAAAAATCAATTACCCTCTCGATAAGGTAGATTTTTCTATTTTGATATGTTCAAATATACAGTCCACTAATTTTTTTTACATTATAATTAATTTTTAAATTGTCTATTACATCTTTATTAAGTCTTACTTTATTTTCAATAATTCTCATTAATTCATTATTTTTCTCAAGTTAATCTTATTTCAAACTCATATATTTCCTCTGTCCAAAATATAAGTCATTTACGGTTTTTGCACAAATATTAAGAAAATAATTAATTCTCCTAGATTATAATAAATCAATGCTAATTTGACTAAATTATCTTTGATCTCAAAAGTAACAGTTACTTATAAAAATATTTATTGTATCTTACAGGCCTAATGACTAAAAAAACTTGAATTTTGGCCCTTTTAACAAATTTAGCCAATTCTTTTAATTGCTATAATTGATACTGCGACGTAATTTTTTTCTTAACAATTATGGTCTATGTCCATTAACTCGTTACTACTATGCTGATGTGATTATTAGTAGGACCTTCGACATAACATGTCACTTGCTGATTGTAAATTTACAAGATATAATTGTTAAAAGAATTGGTCAAAATTGTTAAAAATATCAAAGTTCAGAGTAATTTTAGTCAATTTTAGAAAGAAAAACGTGATAGTTTTTTTTTAGTCATTTGAAATTGTTAACACTCATATTATAATAATTAAATATTAAAGAAGATATAAAAATTTAATAAAATTATCAACATAGTAAGAGAGGAAAATCAAATGTTGTATAATTAATAAATCGTAAATCCATTTTAGTTCCAAAAATGATAGTATTATTTATAGGAACCTCTTCAGTAACATTATCGCTTTAATTAAACTTGTCCTTTTCTTTAGAAGGATAACATCAAATATCTTTACACTAATCTTTCTTGAGAAATTTATGTATAAATGTAAATTTTTATCAATTTTCGTTGTTGAAATTTATTATATTTTAATTGTAAAATTTAATATCTTTCGAATTTTCAAGTTATAATCTCCTTTTTCAAAATTTTCCCTTTCTTTATTTTGTGTCGTATAATTATTATTTTCAATTAATTCTTATTAAAATGAAATAACTTTTTTTAGCATAATCATTGTTTGTCATTAATTATTATAATATATGATTTAAAGTAAAAAAAATATTATAATTAAAATTTATAAAATCTTTTTTTAACGCATAACATTGTTTTGTCATTAATTATTATAATATATGTTTAAAAGTAAAAAAAATATTATAATTAAAATTTATAAATATTTTAACTAATATTATTAAATTAAAATTAAATTATAAGTTTATAATTATTTATTGAAAAATAAATTATATAAATAATATTAGAAATTAATTTTAATAAAAAAAATATGGTTCTATTGTTAAGTTGTATATACACTTACCATTAGGCTATGTCTTAATGTGCGTGTAATAATCTTAACTAAAATTGGTAAACTAACAATCTTTGGCCTAATGACTAAAGTTGCACTCATAACAAACTACTTCAGAAGGTTCTTTTTTAGGCAAGTTGCTATTTTTAGGTGAAAAGTTTTTTTTAATAAATTTTTTCTGTAGCTTTCTACCTTTCTTATAAAACTTCTTGAATCTCTTAGTAACAAGTGCTAAATAATCACTATCAATATAAGAAGAACTTCCTTCACTAGAAACTACTTTCAAAGTCAGTCCTTTCTTCTTCTTTTTTTTTTTTTTATCTTCTATAGTCAAAGAAGAAGAAGATTTTCATACTCTTCTGAACAAAAAGCTCCTATCAAATAATCATAAGTTACTAGAGTCTCTTTATAGTTCAATTTTTAAATTCCTATACGAATACCATTTTTAGGTAGAAGGTAGAATTCTAAGGATTTTCTTAACAAACTCATCTTCTGAAATTTCCTTTCCAAGAGTTCTTAAAGGATTAACTATATTTATGAATTTGGAATTTAGGTCAGCTATAATCTCTCTTTCTTTCATACTAAACATTTCATATTCTCTCCAAATGATATTGATTCTGGATTCCTTCACTCGGTTAGTATCCTCATAGGTAACTCTGAGTTTTTTCATACTTTCATTGCTGACTTACATTCAGATACTTTGTTGTATTCTGTTGGATCTAATGCACAGTTGTTGGATCTAATGCACAGTGAAGAATATTAATGGCTTTTGCATTTATAGAAATGTCATTCCAATCAGCATCGATATATTCTTCTTTTGTCTTTCAAACTCTTACATTTTCTACAGTTTTCATAGGAATGCGATGACCAGTAATAACCTTCCTCCAGCAGTTTATATCAACTAATTTTATAAAATTTTCCATTTTGATTTTCCAGTAAGAGTAATTAGAAGTATTGAACAGAGGTGGTCTAAAAACAGATTGACATTCTAAAGATAAGAGGAAGTGAGGCTGCCATGAGATCTTTTCTTTGAAGCAGTTAAGCTTCAGTAAATCAAGAGGTAAGAGCTCTGATACCAGATTGTGGGTCTCGTATATATATGGTACAAACCAAGAGGGGGGCGAATTGGATTTTCTAAAAATTTAACTTTGAAAAACCAAAATCAGAATTCTGTTGCAGCGGAATTAGAAAGCATTTGTGAAAATTAGTTATCAAGTTTAGAACTACCTCACAAAGCTTGTTGCAAATATAGAAAGTCTTTGTGAAGAACAATTATTACATTTAGAACTGCTTCACAAAGTTTAAACAATTTTAGAATGACTCTGTCAAGAATAGTTATTGCATTTAGAACTACTTCACAAAGTTTAAGCAAATTTAGAAAACTGATTATAATTTATATTGCGAATTACACTAAATGTAGAAGGACATATTAGAACTTGGAGTAATCACAATACATAAATCTAGAGTTCTAATGTTTTACAAAAATAAAGCTTATTCACGTTTAGAAACAGAAATTCATCAACAACTGTGCATTTCTAAATAGATTAACAGTTGTGTAGATAGAATATAATCAAGTAGAACTTCAGAAAATAAAAGAAGATAAAAACAGAGATTTATAGTGGTCCGGCACTAACTCGCCTACATCCACTCCCCAAAACACTAAACTGCCTAACATCCACTCCCCAAACTCATCTTGAGATCCTTGCGCTACTTTTTCAATCTCTTTTCAAGGGGTAAAATACAACCAACGATTACAGAAATAGTCACACTAGATCTAAACCTTGTCCCCTAATATTTTTCCAAAGGTTCTAGTCAAACCTCAAAACCCTTTTTTGTTTTTGCAGAGAACAGAAACTCACATCAAAGCACATTAAATCTCACATAAGCGAGAAGGTCGCTTGATAACCTATTACACATAGCTTTTCACCTAAGCTGCTTACATAAAAGTTTTTCAATTTAAAAAGCCTCTAGCCTACAATCGATTACAAAATCTATATAGACAGAGATGAAAATACAAATATAAGCATAAGAAAACAGAAAACAGATTTAGAAAACAGATTTTAAAGATTAGAACTATTCTTCAGAAAATGAGATTTAGAAAACAGATTTAAAGATTAGAACTATTCTTCAGAAAATGTTGTTATTAAATTTTCTTTTCTCTTAAAAATATTTCTTGAAGCAAAAAGACGGAAAAAAAATAAAAGGGTTTTGAGAGAGCTTTAAGAAATTTAAAACATTTAATCAATGGACTCTTACTCTTAAAAAAAAATGTCTTTTATAGAGGGATGAAGATCATCCCGTTTAGAAAGCATAAAATCTTTAGTTTAAAGAATATCTTTGACGTTCCAAAAATAAAAATACATGAAAATCTTTTATTTATTTATTGCCAAAAAAAAATTGAATCAAAATCTTTTCGTTTAGTAAAGTAAAATAACGAAGAGATTTGACCTTCCTTTTTATAAAGTAATTTCCAAAAATAAAAATATATGTAAATCTTTTTCAAATATTTTATTACCAAAAATAATTAAGCCAAAATCTTTTTCATTTAGGTAAGTAATTTAAAAAGATCATGATTTGACTTTTATTATTAAAGTAACTTTCAAAAATTATTTTGAGAGAGAAGAAAAATATTTTTGTACTTATAAAAGAATATTCCTCTATCTTACAAAATATTCTAAGATACTAACCACTAAAAAAAATCTTAAATAATTTTTATGGTCTTTAAAGAATATTAGATTTGTGGGAACTTGCCTCATTTAGCAATTTCCATATTAAAAAAAATTTGCATAAATTAATATTAGCACATACAAGAATATTAAATTTATTTATTTTGTATAATCATCGAAATCTCAAGATAAAATTAACTATTGAGTCAACAGTTTGTTACTTCACAAATTTGAGAGTAAAGATTTATTACAAAGCAATAGATTAATACATTAATTGAATAATTCATTGTTATTAAACTTTATCATTTTTTAAAAACTAATAATTAATAATAATTGCTTAAAGCGACTAATACATTAAATAACCAAATCAAATCAAACCAAAAACACTAATTCAAAATAAATCCAAATCAAATCAATATCTTAATATATTAAATAATCAAATCAAATAAAAAATATTAAGTCAAAATAAATCCAAATTATACCAATACATTAATACATTGAATAATCAAATCAAACCAAACCAAAAACACTAATTCAAAATAAATCCAAACAAACCAAACTAAGCCAATACATTAATACATTAAATAATCAAATCAAACCATGCCAAGTTGAGGTCTAATTGGATGAATATGCCACATGTCAATTAAAGTACCAAGTGAATATGCTACATGTCAACTTTCTAGGGAAAAAAAAAATGCTTGCTTATATATATATATATTGATTAAAAAATTAATAATCTGGTTTCTTGAT